CGTTTCTTTTTTTTGTTTTTTGTTTGTTTGTTTGTTTGTTTGTTTTTGTTTTTTTTTTTTGGGAGAACATTCTAAATTTCCCGTGTTGGGGGAGGACATGGTGGCCGCATTTAACCCTTCTCCCTGCCTGCAGGCAGCTTGCGCCATTAGCTGGCAGCAGGACAGCCTTCCCCGCACAGTGCCTGTGTGCGCATGTGTCTGTATGCGCATGCCTATATGCTGCTGTATACAAACACAGACCTACTTACACGTGTGTACCCACATGCGCACATGTACATGTATGTGCACGCGTGCATAAACATGTGTGTGCGTTACACATGCATGCACGCCTGTATGCATGTGTACGCACATTGATCTGCAAGCCTGCACACACACATACATATGTGCACATAAGTGTGTGAGAGGGGGCTGTTCAAGCCCTGCCTTGGGGGCAGGGAGAGCCCCATCCTGAAGCGGCAGGAGCAATGTTGCTCCTCAATGTATCCCAAAGGACCCCGAATCCCTTCCCTCCAGCCCTGGGTGGGGGAACAGCCCTGGAAGGAGGCAGGGGTGGGTGACACCTGGTGTGATGGCTGTGCTGTGTCCCTGGCCACACCAGCTGCCCACACAGCCCCGTGCGAGTGCTGATCGCGTTATCTGCTTGTGGTGTCTGCCTCCCTGCCTCTCTGCTACCTCTTCCCACCGAACAGTAAACATATGGCCGCCTCCTGCTGGGGGATGTTCCCGTGGACCTTGGGAAAGGAGATAACAACAGCACAAGAGCCGGGGACCAGCTAAGCTGGCGTCAGCAAAAATTTGGCTGATATGCAAAAACCACTATAAATCAATCACCTTATCCCATAGAAATGAGGTGGTTCCAGAGCCCCTTGAGCTCTCCTTGCGAGGCAGGGTCTCCCCGTGGGCAGCAGCACCTCTTGGGGTTACTCCTCAAGGCTGAGAGATCCCTGAAAAGCAACAGGTCCGCAGTAAGCAAACATGGCATGCAAAAGCTTTCTCACACTTACTAAGTTTTACGGAGTTGTATCCAGGATTGATTGTGCACATAATCCCTTAGACTGTGCACATAATCCCTTAGACATAAACTGTTGACCAAGCCTGGGACTAAGATTGGATCCCACCGCACCCAGATCCCTGTGAGGAGGAGTTTGGAAGGGAGCAGGGTCCAGTCTGAACCCCGTGACTCAACGGGAGGGTCTTCCTGGTACATCTGTGTAAACTTGTTCTCTATGCAGTAAGTAACAGGGACCCTGCTGTAGAATGTCGTGAAAACCACTGTCCATATCGACAAAACATGTTACTACTTCCTTTGTGAGGGTGAAGCGCATTGCATTACCCGCTGCTCCACACCACTGTGGAGAGTCGCGTGGGGGGAGACGCGGCCAGCTCCCCTTTAGCACCGCTTATGGCTCCGGGCAGCTGCCTCGGGACAACAACCTGTTTCCCCAGCTCCACCCCCGTCTTTTCCAATACAGAAAAGCAGCTGGAAAGCATTTCAAGGGCAGTTCTTCACGGCTCTGCTGGAAAGCCATAACCAGCTCAGCGAGTGGCTGTGGCAGGACATTTAATGGCCAGCACCAGCCCTGCTGCTCGCAGACGCCTGCCCTTCTGCTGCAGCCCCCATCTCATGGGCGGCAGAGGGCAAAGCCGCGCTCACCCTGCCTCCCCCCAGGCCCACATTCCTGGGGCAAACAACCCCCCAAGGCACCCACAGCAGGGCAGGGTGGGCACGGGAGGACCCTTTAAAATCACTGCCCGGCGCTAAGATGGCAGCAGGGCCCCCCGGCCGCTTCGCCTTCTCCGCGCGGCGGGGGGGGGGCGAGGGGGGGGGAAAAATGAT